GATACCAAGGGCTCAAGTAGAATATTTGAAAATGTTTCAAAAATGATGATGGCGATGTATGTACAAATATGCTTGACACAATGGATGGATGTATGGATTGATAAGAGCTGTAAGAACCCCCTATAAAATGATTTAAAAACAAAAGCTTACAGTCTTTGAAACCTGCAAGGACAGGTCTACCCTGTTTTACAGGGTTAATATGAGTTGGCATTGACTCAATGGCAAAGAGTCTTTTTTAAGTTACTGTCAAGATATATGAAGATAAATCAAAAGATACTGCTAGAAGTCATAGAAATACTTATTAAATAAAAATGAAGATGTGTTCTTGAATTTAAGGAGGCCTTGAGTAGAGGCCCAAAGTCCATCTGCTATCTTAATACTTAACATATAAATATGTGTACATTGACCTCTATCCCTTTCATTATAAATTAATATTTTACATATATATATATGCCTATAGCTAGACCTCTATAGGCTTTTGCCACCTAGTTCTTTCCTCTATTTCCTTTCACCTTCCTCCTGTCCCACTATCATGCTCGCCCTCTATTCGGCTCTCACTAATTCCTCTTGGATACATTGTACTTGATCAAATCCCACCAGGCTGCTGTTTTCTTTTTTCTTTTCTTTTTTTTTTTTTTAAATCAATTTATTGGGGCTCATACAATTCATCACAATACATAGATCAATTGTATAAAACACATCTATACATTTGTTGCCCTCATTATTCCCAAAATTCACTTGCCTCTTGGGTTCCCGGAATCAGCTCATTTTCCTTTTTTTCCCCCTCCCCTTCCCTTCCTCCTCCCTTCTCCCCCATGCACCCTTAATAATTCATAAATTATTGTATCTTCTGTTTTCAATAAATAGATAGAAAAGAGATAATGGAGGAAGAAAATTTAAGGATCAAGTTAATACTAATGTACATACCTGTTTGCCCAATTCAAATAGATCAAAGGGAAAACGAACTCCTTAAACCCATCAGTTCAGTGGGACTACCCTTCTCGCCATTGAGATGGTCTGACTTTTAATGACCCGGAAGGACAGAGTAGAGTGTCACACGGGCTTTCAAAGGCAGTAAACCTTCACAGAAGCAGATTGCTACACCGTTTGAATGGCTGACTTTTGGTTGGCAGCTGAGAACTTTAACTGTGTACTTGATAATTTAATTGAAAATATCTTTGTGAAATCCTGAATACTGATTGCCTAAATGATAATTTTAAGGAATTCTTGTTGATTTGGGTAGGAGAGTGGGCATGCTGATGGTGACGGTGTTTAGATAGGGAATTGTTATCTTGTGTAGAGATTCACACTGAAGTACTCACATATGGAATAATATGACGGTCGGTAATATGATGGTCGGGGCTTGCTTCTGAATAAAGGGAAGAGGGTAGGGTGGGTTGGGGTGTACATGAAACCATATTGGCCATGAGTTGATCATAGTTGAGGCTAGGGGACAGGTGTGTAGTGCTTTTTTATTCTATTCTCTTTATCTCTGAAAAATTAGGAAGTCTAAGTAAAAAAGAATATAAGATCTGGCATCAGACTGCCTATGTTCAAAATCCAGATCTCACAAACATTGTGAGCTTTGAGATCACTAACTTTGTGGTCGTTGACAAGTTGCGTAGCCTCTGTAAAATACGGACAGGATAATACCTAGATCCTAGGATGATCCAGTGGTCAGACCAGAATTCAGCTAGAGGTCTCTTGACTCCCAGTTACGACAACTGTATTGACTACACCCAAGTAAACGTAAACGTCTTGTTCTTCCATAAGAAGACTCAAGATGGAAAATACTTAAGTTCTACCTACATCTAAAATTATTGCCGTTTGAATGAAAACTCCAGGTTGTTTGTTTACTTTGAAAGGGAACATGGACACTAAAAATAAGTAGAAATTTTATCTGCTAGTGGGGAGGATAGGGGACTAAGCAAACATGTTAGGAAAATGAGGAAATCAAGGAATGTAAAGAAAGTACTGCTCTAATATTAAGAATAGTAGACAGTTACAGTAACGAAGAGTGTGAGTCTGGGGCAAGAACAGACAGATGAGTGGCATCAGCTAATATCCAGAAATAAACTTTAAAAAACAAACTCACTCAGCTGATAAGTCAATTCTGACTCTTAGCCACCCGACAGGACAGGGTAGAACTGCCCCTGTGGGGTTCCCAGACTGGAACTATGGCAGTAGAAAGCCACATCTTTCCAACTGCTGACCTGTGGTTAGCAGCCCAACATGTATGTGGCCACTATGCCACCAGGGCTCCCAAATAGGTGTGAGTGTTTAACGTTTTCGTATTAAGGCTGACATTTCAGATCAGTTGAATCTGTCTTTTTCGGACAACTGGACTCGCCATGTAGGAAAAAAGATAAAACTGGATCTTTATCGCAGTGAATTTCAAATTGTCTTATACAAATCCAAGAAGAAAATGTAAGTGAATATTTTTATAGTATGGACGGTAGAAATGCCTTTGAGTAAGACTAATAGAATGCAAATACCACCTCAAAGGAGGGGACTGATACGTTTTGGTAGGTAAAAAATGGAGAACTTTGGTCCAACAAATGCTTTATGTGAAAAGACAAAAGAAAAGACTGAGAAAAAAGCCCCGTACTGTATAGGGCAGAGCATTAATAGCTTACTCTCTTTGTCAAGGTCTGAAGTGCAGAAACAGCACATGTAGGAATCCACAGCTATCTCCAGGACTGAGGGAGCGAAGCAGACTAACTTGAAAGGGCTCCTTCTCACAATCAAGGGCGGGATTCATTCAGACTTAGGTGGAGAAAGTACAGCTGCTGCCAGAAGCTATAGCCCTGAATCAAAGCTGATCCCTATGAAATCTCCCACTGAGATGCCACAGGCAGGCCTGAGCTGGCGCAGAAAGCCACCTGCTGGGGTGCCCTGGGCCTGAACTGACAGTGACTGGGGTGCCATGAGTCAGACAGAGCTGGTGTGCTGAAGCTATCCACTAGGATGCTGTGGGGTGTAGCCAGTGTGCAGAAAGCCTCCTGGCTGGGTGCTAGAGAAACTTGGCCGGAGGGTGAGTACCGCTGGGTACCCTCAACTCCCTACGCTGCATACCCTCTAGCAGCCACACCATAGGGCAGTAAGAACACACCTTCACCTGAAAGATAAAAGTTTGCAGTGTCCCTCTGGTGTCCTCTGTTGACTAATTCTAACATCGCACCTGCTGGAAAAGGTTCACACTGTGAAGAATTCTTGTAAATGGATAAGAATGTTGTGAACGCTCTTTTTTTGGGGGTGGGGGTGAGGAAAGGGTAGGGTACTTGTATAGAAAATTCACACATAGAAATGGCTAATCAGTGTTTAAAAAAATAGTCAAATTCACTATTAATAAATTCTCAGATTTCATTTGGGTGCACAAACTTAGATTTGCGTATTCTCCATCACTGAGTACGTTGTTTCTTAAAGATTACACATTCTGCCCCTCCTTGTCTCCTACTGTTTCCCTGGAATTGTATCTGTTATTTCTTGTCTCATACTGTTTCCCTGGAATTGTATCTGTTACTTCTGCTCTCATTCTTCATTTACCTACCTTAGGAAGCTAGCCTAGACTTCTTCCCAGGCCCTACCCTACCTAAGGGCGATACAGTAAGAAGATGTGACGGGAATAAAAGGAAAGGAAATTGGAAAGGAAGAAATAAGACAAACTACTCACAGACATTGTAATTGTATCTGTACATGATTTCAGAGTCTACACAAACACAACTAGAACTAATGGATGTGTTTAGCATGGTCAGAAGGTATAAGATCAATATACATAACTCTGTTTCGTTTCTGTATACTAACATCGAACAATTGGAAATTGGGGGGGAAAATAAAACGCTCGTAACATTTAGAAACAAACCTAAGAAAATATGAATAAGATTTTTGTGTATCCTAAAAATATGCATCAGGGATTGATGAGAGAAATACAAGATCTTAAGAAGAAGTGTGGGGGTGGGGGGCTCGCCGCCATCACGTTGATTTCGACTCTCAGCAAAGCCTGTAGGACAGAGTAGAACTGCCCCTTTGGGTGTCCAAGACATTAATTCTTTACAGGAGTAGAAGAACTTAATATAGTTAAGATAATCAGGTTGCCCCACCTTCAACACAATCCCAATTACAGCCCTAGCTGACTGGGAACATTGTAGCTTAGCAATTGAAATAACTGCTGTTGTGATCGCTGTTGTTGTTTAATCAAACTAGCCTACGTTAGAGCTTGCTCCTTCCTTGTTATTTGAAATTTCAGACAGAGGTCAGGAAGACCTGTTTTCAAGGACGGGGTGTGTGTAGGAAATTACACCATTAGGTAGGAAGTTGGATTAGGTGATCCTCATTGACCCTTGTAACTCAAAATCTTATGGCTGTTCGTTTATGTCAGCGATTTGCCAGTCGAAGTAAAGAACGCTGGGATGTGCAGTGAGGCTTTTTCAAATATATTTACTTTTCCCCCAAACATGTCACTCAACTCTTCCTTTCCCTTAAAAACCATCCCATGTAATGAGGGATTTTTCTAGTGGGAGTGTGCCGCACAAATGAACTATTTTAGGTGGCATTTATATTACATACATTTTTCTGTCACTCATCAAGCTGACTGAAGTGAAGATTATTAGTCTTCTCCACTCTTTGAATTTTAATTATGTTTTCCCCCCGAAATTGTATAAACTGCAAGAAAATACACTTCAGTAATCATTTTTCAACAGCTTATCACCTTCATGTTTTCAGTTTCTTCAACATTGTTATTGGCTTAGTAATTATTTCCATGTGCGGACCTGGGGAAACTCAGGAATTATCTTCGTAATTATTCTAGCTAATTACACCAGAAAATGAATTTATAGAGGTATCAGCTAAATTCTAGTTCTTATATATTTTATCTCTTCCTTGGCAAAAATATATATTAAAGTAAAAATTCCGCGAATGATGATGATTTTTTAAATGGGTTGAAATGTTTACAGCAACTTATTTTTGTTTTCATTGGTATCTTAATTTCTTTCTGTTTATAGCCCAACCTGAATTCCTGAAGCAGCCTGCCAATATATATGCCCATGAGTCTATGGATATCGTATTTGAATGTGAAGTGACTGGGAAACCGACCCCAACTGTGAAGTGGGTCAAGAACGGGGATGTGGTTATTCCAAGCGATTACTTTAAGATCGTTGTAAGTATTCAAAGGGCATTTTGTATCCTAACACCTTTCAATGTCTTTAAAAGTAATCACCCAAAGATCAGTGATCTTACGTTTGTGTATTGCAAATGAATCTAAAAACATTCACATAGCATGTAATCACTCCATTAACTGATTAGAAAGTGGAGCCTAGAAATATTTCAGTAGCTTGTGTAAGATCACATAGCAAGTCAGTGGCTGAACTAAGCTCAGGTCTAGATCTCCTGGCCAATAAGCTAGTACCCTTACTCAGATACATTGGTGCCATTACTCAAATACAACTACTACCATTTTGGAGTAATGATTTTGTGTGTTTCTATATGTGACCAATTGTGACCTTCTGTTCTCATTCAAGGAGCCGAAATCTGCCTCTTGAAACTGGAAAATATACTAGACTTGTAATGTAACTGAGATAATAAATAATTAGAAAAATAATAAATACTAAACCATACTTAACCAAAAATGATAGACTGATGCCCAGGTATTTCTAAAGAAGTATTACCTAGTGTTGGACAGTTAATTGGCATAACAGTATAGATTATAAAGATTCTTTTAAAAACTTAATGCAAAAAGTGCTGTAAGATCTAATTTAGAGTACTCGGTCATAATTGGCTTTCTACTTTTTACATATGAAGTATCTAGTTAAGCATCATCACCATTCTCATCATGTAACATCCTAGTACTAGAATTGCCTAGGCTTTAGTAATTAGGATTAATGATGTATCCAGAGATGCATGCCTGGCATTCACAGAATGATCAGAAGTAATCATGGTTGTTGAAGACTGAATGTCCCATTACAAGTTTGCCATATAAGTAATCTACTCTTCGTAGGCATGTATTTTTGAAATGCATAACCTCACAAGTTACCAAGGAGTTGTTCATAAACATTAAGTCGTTCATAAACAAAAGTAACCTGTTGCAGTTAGATCACTTATATCATCATCAACTATATTTGTGTTTTATAAGTAACAATGTAAGAACTTTGAACTGGTATCAATTGAACCATAATATTTTTATTGTATTTCCCTTTCTCAGAAGGAACATAACCTTCAAGTTTTGGGTCTAGTAAAATCAGATGAAGGATTCTATCAGTGTATCGCTGAGAATGATGTGGGAAATGCACAAGCTGGAGCCCAGCTGATAATCCTTGAACATGGTAAGGGGGCCCTAAGACAGTAAGCGGAAGGAGGGGTGACGGTGCCTGAGGAACTAGTCATGTGTCTCTCAAGGCCTCACAGCCAGTCGCTGTTTTGTAAGATCAGTGCATAGCTAGGAGGAAAAGGAGTGGTAACATGAGTCATCTCTACAGTGCAAGTTCCTCAGAAACAAAATGTCAGGTTATCTTAAAAGAAATGGTATTTTAACATAAAATTATTTAAATTGGCATTACTTTAGATTATGCTTAAAGGAAATATAGACTCTTGTAGCCTTATGCAAATGAAATGTCAGATTTTAACTATTGTAGTTTCCCAAATATATTTCTGCCCTATTAAGAATAATATCTCAAAGTAGCCTTTACTTTTTCCAAAATAAAATTAACCTGCCTTTTCTGATTATCATTCTCTCTTCTAAATGCCTTTTATGAAAAATTGAGACAACATTGAAAAGAATACCAGAAGGGAAAAAAAATCCCACCCTCAATCAGTCAGGGTCCAAATCAGGAGACACTGCACAGTAATTTGAACAGGGACCATTTAACGCAAAGAGTTATGAACTGTAACATGATTGGAGTGACACAGGGGTTGGCTGGTAAGAAGTAAAGAGAACTCACCACTGCAGGCAGTCCCTGACTGAAGCCTGCTTTCCATTCTGACGACTACTTCTTTATGAGTTAATTTTGATGGACGTTGACTGCCTCATCTTTTTTTTTTTTTCCCCAGATTTCATTAGTATTGCCTTGTATTATCACTATCTTTATAAATCTAATCTTTCTATGTATTTGGGGGTTGGAAACATTATATCTGAGAATGATAACATTAGCAAACTCTTCATTGAAACATTGTATAGTGCAGATTATTAATGATGTACAAGCCACACCCCACATACCCCAAATGGATGGTTATAAGTATAGTTTGTCATAACTTGAAATTGCTGTGAGTTGGAGACTACTTGCGTAGAAGGGACATATCAGGAGTATCCACTACCCCTACGTCTCAAATACGGTGCCCGAGTAAGCACACCCGTTGTCTTGCCTTGCCCTGAGGGCTGAGATCCATTTCTTGTTGGAGAGAGCTCAGCCACGCTTTACTAGATGGTAACGAGCAAGAAGAAGGTTAGAAACAAACAGTTTAGGGAAGAAGGAGGAATGGAAACAGGAAACAGGGGATAAGTGGGATAAGTGGTGATATACTGATGATCTGCTCTGTAAACCCTCACCCAGTTCACAGTAAGAAAATTTCTAAAGTGACATAAAGACATATATTTGTGTAACATGACTAAGAAGTGTTGAGTTTTTTCAAGGAACAGACAGCCCCAAGTAGGCTAAAGACCAACATATGAGTAGTAGTTTAAAGAAAACAAAACACATATTTACACATCACAGTCAAACTACTAAAAGCAGAGAGAAATAATGAAATAAAAATAATGCGATGAAATCAAATACTACAAAAGTAATACTACATACAGAACAGAATTTGTTTTTTAGAACAGAAACAGAGGTTTGTTGTTTTTTTTACCAGAAATGAAGAAAGTCAGACAATGGAACAGCATTTTAGGCTCTAAAAAGGGGAGAGGGCATAAATCAAATAACTCAAGTTACATACCCAGCAAGAATGAAAGCAAAGGAAGACTCCACAAAAGCTGAGAGAAGCCATTGCCATTAGGCCTGTGCAAGCAGAAATATAATGCCTCGCCTGCAGAAATTTGGGAAAGCAGTCCAGAAGTGACTTAAAATAATTTTTAAAGGTAGATGTAATTTTTCTAAAATTCATTTTAGATAGAACTCTCTAAAGCAGTGGCCTGTACATTTAGTCCGGAGAAGATCAGGTCAATATTTTGGGTTTTGTGAGCCATTAGTCTCTGTCACAATTACCAACTTTGCTATTATAGAACTAAAGCAACCAAATAGATTAACAAGTACGACTCTATTCTAGTAAAACATCACAAAACGGGTGGCAGGTCCTAGATGGCTGACCTCTAGTCTAAACTCCCAACACTTTATAACATGAAATGTTTAACAAGAGTACAGAGTTACTGTGAAACCTCGAGTTGATTCTGACTTGTAGAGACCCAATAGAACAGGGGTCCTCAAACTTTTTAAACAGCGGGCCCAGTTCACTGTCCCTCAGACCCGTTGGAGGGCCGGACTATAGTTTGAAGAAGAAAACTATGAACAAATTCCTATGCACACTGCACATATCTTACTTTGAAGTAAAAAAAAAAC